TGTGTAGCTCCAGATTTTCTTTTTCCTAAACCCAATTTATTTCTTCTCTACCTAACCAAACTCTCTTCCTCCCAAATCCCCTCCACCGGCCCCCATAAGTCCACCGCCGGCCATCCCAGGCCAATCCCACCACCGGCGGCTCCGCCGACCTCCTTGGGACGACCAAGCCACCGGCCTCCCTCTTGGGAATTTCAAATTTTAAATTCAAATTTGTTTCCAAGAGGCATTGAAGACTTTCCTAAAATAGTTCATTGATTTAAGGCTTTTATATTAATTGGATGTGAATTTGAAATTCCAATTAATTCTAATTGATAGCCCCATTATTGGAAATTTTCCTTTCTTTCAAAATCTGAATTTTAATTCAGATTTTATTGAATCTTTGATTAGTAATGTGGGCCCCACTCTACTTATGACAAATACTCCTCCCTCTCTCTATGTGGCCGGCCCCCTCATTAAGCCTCCATAATTACCTCCCACAATTCCCTCTCATCCAATTTAATTCTCCCCATTAAATTTGAATTTACATTCAAATTCATCCCGCCAATTCCACTTAATCTGAAATTTAATTTCAGATTTTCATTCTCTCTCCCCAAATTGATTTAGGATTTAATTAATCTTGCCACCTAGGCAAGTACATGGCATTTACGTTTCACATCAATATGTGTACCTAAAATTTCACCTGCCCGCCTCAACCGACCAACCTCTGCAAAAAAAGCACAAAAAATGCCAAGAAAAAAAATATGAAAAGCCGTGATGGCCTTTACATGCCATGATGCATAGAAAATATCAGAAACAAGAAGCCTGGAGTACAGTAGTTAACCAATGTACGACATGAGGAAAAAAAAGATCCAAATCAACTCTAATAATGAAAGAAAAGCAAAATTATCATATTTCAAATAAATATCATCAGCATTAGCCTTATCTAGACTATTTGGGGTCAGAATATTTCAGATAAATAAAAAATACAAAAATACTGATAGCTTAAAAATTTGGTGACGCAAGGCGTAAGAAAAAAAAATTGTAAAAAATTATTTGGTAATAATACCTAGGAAATCCATGAGGATTCATGATTAAATCCGGACATATTCCTTCCTCTGAAAATGGAAAATCCTCCTGCTGAACAATGGTGCCTATAACACCCTTTTGTCCATGTCTGCTACTAAATTTGTCCCCAATCTACTTGGATGGAAAAGATAATTTACAGTCACTACATACATGATACAGGAAGTATTTAAAAATCACATTACCTCTGGTCTCCGGACATGACGAATGATAAACTTCACACACATCTTGTTATCCTTATCAGAGTACAACATCACACGGTCAACCACAGTGGTTTCACCTTCTGGGCCTTTGTAACTAACATTTGATGGAGCATAGTCACTGCAAAATTTAGATTGAGAATCAATTAATAAGCATCTTACATAGAATTGTAGATTTAAGTTAAAAAAACATGAGAAAGGAAGTATACCAGTCTTTTAACGCCATTGGATTAGTGATTCTGTCCTTTTTATTTCTTGGACTTTGCTTATTCACAAGTATATCATGCCTTCGTACTATTTGACCAGGAGCAGCAATTCCATCAGCATCAAGTGCCTGTTAACCATTTCAAAATAGAAACCAATAACTGAATTCGGGATATAGCAAAATAACGTCGGCATAAATTACCATTCAGAAGTGACAAAAGGAACAAAAAGTTGGGAAGCTTGTTTGCATCTAAGCTAAAAAATGCAAAAAAAAAGACTAAAATGAAAAGCTCCAGATCAACTGCAGAAACAAGTACATACATTCTACTACAGCAGGATATTAAGGATGGCATTCATCTAGTTACTAAGTCAGAAAACGAAGTTCCATCATCTAATTCAATAACAATTTCCGTTGCAATCTGCAAATAACGGTAAGCACACACAAACAAACTCTTAACAAGCCCAAAAGGATTAGGCGCTAATATCACTGCTAACATATGAAAAATACCTAAACCATAGCACTCAAATCAAATATAACATATGTGCTAAGCTTGCAGATATGTGTTGCCATGTCTCACAAAAAATAATTTATATCCATCGATACATACCGTTCATAGTATGAATTAAGTAGTCTTAAACCACAAAGGGACAATTTCCCCTCTAAATTTATTAAGCAAATTAAACTACGAAATCTTTCACCCTATTCGCAATTGCTCTTATTGTTCAACTTGTCCATGAATTGTGCAGCCATTAAGATTGTTCTTTGTTCACATCTAGGCATGCATCACAGTTGATAAGTGAAAAAAGAGAAGAGGTTATTATAACCATCTGTAGTCCAGACGTATGAGGCATCATGTACAGAAGTTTTGATTAGATACTCAGCTGAAGTACAGCTACAGCATAAAGAATAACTCTATTATTCCATTGCTGGTATCTAAACTTAAAAAAAGTCCTGTTAAATGAATCATGTAGCATAATGAATCTGCTATTCTATAAATAACGACTTATGATATACCGAGATGAATTACCAGATCCACATGCAAATATAGAAAATAAATCTTGCCAAAATTAAAAGCAGGTCTACAGTTATTCATAATTTGTTCGCTTAAACAAGCATAGAACCTAAGTATAAACACTAAAATATGGGATACAACAAGTTAACACGTGTTGCAGACAAAATGTGACCATTCTCTACTTTAAAAGCCTTCTTGTACATGCATCACAAACTAGTTCTTAACCCCAATGAGCAAAAAGCATTCCTAAACTTTTAACACGTGCAAAATTACAACAGCTCCACATCATGTAAAAGTATGCAAATTAGGATACAACCGTGCATTGGATAACGAAGTATAAATTCACCAAGAGGGAAACCCTCTCTATTATGTAAAGAAAAGAAATGAGATGTTTAAGCAATCAATATGGATGGTATTACCTGTTTTCTTGGCTCATTTTGAGGCCTAACTATTCTGTCTGACGTTTCATTACTGTATATCTCCTTCACAACAATTTGCCTGATGAAAATAACAAAAATAAAAGCTGAAGAAGTTCCAAAAATATCAAACAAATAACCAAGACAAAGCATTCCTAGACCAAAAACAACGTTTTTTCTTTCCATAAATGACCAGCATCAATAATAAACAAAAAGAAGCCACGTGGATGTACTTCTTCAAAGCAATGCAACGCCCAAACCCACGATCAAGGGAAGATTTATTCATGACAATGGCATCTTCTATATCATAACCACTATAGCTCATAACAGCGACAGTGGCATTCTGCCCAGCACCAAGCTTATCATATCCAACCTAAAAATGATTAACCAAATAAAACACAGATGGACAAATTAGTGATAAACCGTCACGAATGAAAAGCTACGAACCAGCTCAATTGTTTTTGTTGTGAGCAGAGGGCGCTGAGGATATACTAGTAGATAAAGCAAAGTATCTGCTCGAGAAAGCTGCAAAAAGTAAGATAGTGCCGAATTAGAAGCCATTTATGATACAAAACAAACAGAATCCCATAACTCAAGCCCTAATGTGCAGCAAGGCATCCTTATCCTAATAGAAGGTAATTATAGAATCTATAGCTCCACAGTCTCCATGGAAGCACACAAATTCAAAAAAAAAAAAAATCTAAGATTTTAAGATCTCATATAAAATGCACAAAGATAAATTAATATAAAAACTAGGAAAAAAACCAGTTTGATTCCTTTACATGCTTGAAAGTTCATTAATAAGCACTGAAAGTCAACAAAAGCATAATGAAAAGAAGAAAGTTAATAACCATGAGCTCCAAAAAGTCCAAAATAATATTTTTATCTCAAAACTTTCTCTCCTCATATACAACTTGAATATTAAATTTCTTAACTTAATACACTTGAAACGTAATAATAATTCGGTATTACTAAATCAGGAACTTCTAAATTAAATTTTATCATTACAAAATCAAAAACTATTTCCTTACCACTTTATTTCCTTCTCCTTTCTCATCTTTTTCTCCTTCTCTCCTACCCGATTCCTCCGTCCAGCCTTTTGGCCCGCTGCTTCTGCCTTAAACCGCAACCTCCATTCACCAAACCGAGAGCAAGCAGCTTAAATGAGGCTTCCGTTCAATAAAAATAGGTTAATACTTTAATTAATACGTAAAATACCTAATATACTCAAAGACTCCAACACTGCATGACTCGCTAAGCAAGTGAGCTGAAATATATTTTAACCCAACTACAGTGTTTTTATTATATGAACAGTAACTTTGAATTTAAAATTTTAGGGAAAAAATACAAATAAAAACTAATTCCATAACCTTCACAAATGCAAATTAGCATATACTTCTATATACCAATTCGCTCTGATTGATTAATATAACAATGGAATAATTTTTTGTAATTTTCATGAAAGTTGACATTTTGATGTATAATTTAATTAAAAAAAATTATAATTTTACTTGAAAAACACTGTAGCAATTTAAACTTGCACCAATAAATCAAAAAAATTCCAAATTTTACTAAGAGAAAAGTAGGACAAGTCTAGGTAGGGGTGTCAAAATCGGGTTGCGGGTCAGATTCGGGTCGAACACGAGATTGACACATTACTATTTGACATGATCTGAACCAGACCCATTTTTGCAGACGAGTCAGAAGTTTCAACTCGGACCCGACCCATCTGATTTCCGGGATGACCCGACCTGACACAAAACCACGGTAATTTGGTCGAAGAAGCAGGCACATGGGAGAAAATGGTTACCTTCGCAACGAGTGAGCTCACTCCCATGTCCCGTCATCGTTGTTACTTTCGATCCAACAAAAGAACGACAAGGCTTGACAACGTTACTGTCGGGCCAGGTGTCAGTGACTTCCAACCTGACAAGAAGGAACGACGTCGAAGGAGGAAAACAAGTCTTTTATCGACCTGTTGGAAGGAGATGAATGTCGTGACTTCTGATCCAACAAAAGAAAGGTGAGTAGCGAGCTGTGGTAACTTTCGACTCAACAGGAAGGAACGTTGTTGAAGGAGGTTAACGTCGGCCAGCTGTCGTCAACTGCAGCACGTGAGCGGTGGAGCGGAGTCTACCACTGGATGAGTGGAAGGCGGAAGCGTGGTTAGGGGCTTAGGGCTCGATTATACACCTAAATTGAGCGGGTTCGAAAGGGCAGAAGCTAAACCGAGAGGGCCAGTGGCTTAATCGTGCTTATACCATTGGTGAAGTGGGTAAAAATCAGGGCCCAAACTCAAGCCGGAATTTGAAACAGGTCGAAAATCGGGACTCAAAATCGGCCCGTTCTTAAATCGGGTTGACCCTAACTTGAAAAACTCGGGTTAGGTTCGGGTCAGGTTTTTGTGTCCTGTCAATTTTTGACACCCCTAGGTCTATGTAATAGCCACGATATGTCTATAACAGAGCCCCGAAATTTTAGAAAAAAAAATGGTTCAACAGATGCACCTCGTAATTTAGTTCATGCTAGTTTTTTGTGCTAGATAATGTCCTGTTTTTTTCCATTTTTCTCAATGAAATATCAAATTGTTGAACTATAAAAATGAATCTTTCACTAATGAAAAGCAACCACAGAAAGCCCAACAGGTATTGAAAGCGTATCTAGTGAACTCTTAATGTATTTTGAAAAGCAATCGTTACAAAAGTAGCAATATGCTTTTAGATGGAAGCCAATCATCTCATTTAATGTTTGACTGAAAAAAATTTGCATTATTTAGACCACTTCCAGAGCTTCCAAAGCAAGAAAACTGAGTAAAAGGCAGTCAAGTCGTCTGTTCAACCATTCAATACCATATTGAATGAGCTGCAGTGCTACTAATGATATCATCTAGTGGTAGAACAAAGGACCTCCTTAGATTTGAGATAAGTCCATGCAACCAGATATAGCATAAGTGCTTTATTTTTAAATTCTTCTGCAAATATATATATATATATATATATATAGAAGTTCTTCCCACTCCAAGATTTCAGATAAACCATATCATCCCCTCTCAATCCTAATTCCATCACTAATATTATCCACTAGCTAGTTCCTCCCCCACCCTCCACCCCCACCCATTTTTTTTTCTCTTTTTTCTATATACACTTGCTGGACGACCAATATATGCTGTAGAAAAGAGAGATTGTTGAAAATTTATGGATTAAAAAACGAATCATTATAAAGGTATAAGTTATGTAATAAAGAATTAAAGTTGATAATCTTACTAAACTATATTTATATTAAATTTTTTACCCAATTAACCATATCACATAAATAAGATGTAAAAGAAATTTTTTGTAAATGATAACAAGAAAAAATAACGAGTTATGATATTCTACTATTAGATGGCTTTTAACTATCTTTGAAAGTGAACTACCATGAAAGGAAGAGTTTATTCCATTCAGAGCATTGGGGAAAAAAGTTAAAAATTGACGCTGATGGATATGCTCAAAATTATAATAGTAGTAGAAACCCATGTCCATCTTTAACTTCAAGCATAGCAAATTATGGAAGGAACTTCAGGGAAAGATATATGAATGTGAGATTCTCAAAGACTTACTTTACGATGAAAGTAAAACTAAACAAGAAATTCTTCAAAAAGAAATAAAATTAATTCTAGAGAACTACACTTGAAGCATTGGGGAAAATTTTTAAAATCCACGCCGAAGGATATGCTACAAACTATAATAGTAATAGAAATGCATGTCCAACTGAAACTTCAAGCATGGAAAATTATGGACGGAACTTCAGGAAAGGTATATGTGTGTGAGATTTTCAAAAATATGAATACTTTACTAAGAAAGTAAAACTACACTAGAAGTTCTTAAAAAAATTAAATAAAATTAATTCAAGAGCGGTACATGCCTGATTATAAGCAATATTTCCCATTGCCTGCTTTCCCATGGCGCACTATCATCATAAAGAAATCGCTTAATAAAATGATTTACAAGATTTTAGGAGGACAGGCTAGTTCAGTAGGTTGCTATACCTGGTACGTATTGCGAGGAGACTGGTTGTGATGGGGATAAGGAATTAATCCAGCAACCACCCCCAAAATCGTGAATGGTTCAATCTCAATATGTGTTATGGAACTCTTCTGAACATCAGCATTATCTTCACCATGGCCATCCTTGGGAATTTCATGCTCATAAAGTGCAATCTGTTAAGGAGATAGCTGCCATTTTTAACCAATAAGAAAATTGAAAAAATACAAAGATTGAATAAGCCTTCTACAAACCAAGGCATTGTTCTCTTCATTAACATCAAGATACTCAATCAAGCCTTCTCGTACAAAATCATAAAAGCTTCGTACTCCATCCTTCATATGAAAACTGAAAATGTCAAGATAAGAGCAAAAAAAAATCATGCAATTATGAAGTGACAAGAATTTAATTATACAAACCCTCAATTCTTTCATGTGATATTCTTTGATCCTGGAAACTCCCTTGTCAGCAATTACAAGTGGACGGCAAACTCGTCCACCATCCGAAGCAACATAGACACAGCGCTTACAGTGTACAGTTAAAGATTAGTTCATTGCTTATTGGAAGGAAACAAAATTTTAGAAAAAAAGAAGTAATCAATGCTGTCATCGATGTTAAATATATTTAAGAATAGGGCAAATAAAAACAAAGAGAATTATAGAGCAGGAGCATCATGTGGAATACTCAGTCAAAGTAGAATTAATAGTTCCTTCATCTTTATTGAAGTCCAGATTCATTAATATTTTAGTTTTCTATGAATGGAAGTGTTCATTTAAATACAAAACTTAGTAGAACATCAGTCATTAGTTAATATGACTTGAGCGGAGCCTGTTCATTTTTGCATAGAGTGGGCGGAAGAGACTTCTCAGGAGGAATGAATGAAGATATGATGCGAGAAAAGCCCCCAAATTTTTGCTACCAAAAACAAAATTCTTCCTAGGATAAAAAGAAATACACAAAATACTCAATCTACAACATAAAATGACAAAATAGACAAATTACAACTTTTATAAAATAAAAGACTTACAAACTTTGACACAAACACACACACCTAAACTTGCTTTTCATTTGCTTTGAGAAAAAGGATACATATGGAGTGGCACTTGCGGCAAGAAGAAAGATGTTAGAAGACTAGACGAAGGAAGGACAAGCTCGCAAGCTTTCCTAGAGGAGAAGAGAAGCACGGAACAAGCTTTTCCAAAGAAGGAAGGAAAACCCTCAGGTTTCATCCAAAAATACCATTTTTGATCACTCTCTTCAAGCCTCAAAACAGCCCCTATATATAGGAAGAAAGGGGAGACAAACAACCACAAAAACACGATAAATATCACAATAAAAAAGAGGAAAATGAAAGGCCAAAAGACACATAACAGCCAGCAGAAATTATGCACAAAAAACAGGGAGACAAGACACGGAAAACCCAACCAGCAGCCACGGGAAGCCCAGCCAGCAAGGGACCCGAAGAGGCAACACAGGAAACAGGGCAACACATCACAGGAAAACAGCCAGGAGGGGAAATCCATGAGGGAGGACCACGGGAACAACAACAGCCAACAGAAACCGAAAACAGCAAGCAACCCAGGGGAGAAAATCGAGTAGACAATGAGAAGGGAAGAGACACAAGTCCACTCCACAATAATGAGCTTGTATAGAAGTATACCTTTTTGATTTAATGAGCTAGGAAGTGCATTTATTCCCAATTATTGAGCTAAACTTCAGCTCAATCATTAATGAGCTAACTTCAAGTAGAATCCAAAATTTTGAGCTCAACACCAAGCATCCAAGACCCAATCCGTGAGCAGCAAACATCTCCAAACCGAGAATAACAAGCAGCCCATGGACAAGAAGGAACAAGAAGAATTGACCCCCCCCCCCCCCCAATCACCCCCCCCCCCCCCCCCTACCTACATCAAGATAGCAAGAAGCTAGATCCACTTAAGACTTTAAAGTAGTGTTATATACTAGTAAAAAGGTTTTTTTTTTATTTTTTTTACTTTAACAATTCTATGAATTAAAACAAGATGATAAACATTTCAGAGGACTCGTGAATCCTCAAAACATTGCTTTTGGCATCAAAAATATTTCTAGATGATTAAACTAATTACAAAAAACAGATTCAAAAGCATATTAAGTATTAAAGAAAGAAAAGTAGTATGGTAGTCTTTCATAATACTAAAGAAATTACTCAAGTAACTTAGCGGAACTTTGAAAGTGAATAAAATAGATTTCAAATTCAAAATTCCATGAGTTCTTTTTCTTGCGAAGGAAATCAAAAGTTACTCAATCTGAATTTACTAACAACACTACTAATGAGCAACAAGGGATTAATTAAATACACTTCATGCCAAAACGACCATACCATAACAATAGCTTAGACGAAAAGAGCAATTGCATAACAATGAACTTACCTGCCGTTCATGCACAAAAATGCTCACAAATTCTCCAATTACACTCTTCCGACGTAATTTTCTCATGGCATTAGCAAACTTCTGCAAAACCTAGGATCATATAAAAACCAGAAGTACGGAACAACATATCATAAATAAACTATACTTGAAAATTAGTTATCATGGCTTGCCTGTGGCTTCGTGTGTTTACCAAGTATAAGCCCATTTAGCATAACCAAGAATGAATCTGGCGCATGAAGCTCTTCACCAGATAAGTCCTCCACATCTACAACTCCAAGCTTACGACACTAACAAACGAAAAGAGTCTAACTAGTTACTTTGCACATAGGAGTAATATACTCCTGTAATACATCACTTATGAAACATAAGAGAGACATTTTTAGCATTAGATAAAATTAAGTAACAAAATCAACATTATGAATCGCAACTTTATCTGATAAAACCATAAATTATAATTATAATATTATTTGAGATTGGCTTTAAGTCCAAAAAAGAGTAGTTTGGCTGGAAGAGCTTTATATGTGTTCAGTTTTTCTCTCCTGATATGTACGATACGAAAATATTTTTTGTTCTCATTTCAAGGCTAGTATAGAAAGAAAGACTTTCCAACCAACATAGGAGGGCAAGGTAGTAACGTCGAAGTCGTGCTAGTGAGGTGAAGAGAGGAATTGTGCAGGAGAATAAGGTTGGGAAGCACAGAAAAGGGTGTTTTGTTTTTGTGAAAGAGGGGGAGCCTGGTTAAGAAAGAAAGATGGAGAAGCCAATGCACTGGGAGTTTGTTTAGATAGAATACAGTGAGAGGTGGAGATGGGGGTCGCCAGTTGGTGAAGAAGACAAAAGAGAGCAAGAGAGCATGGAGTGTTAGAACAGGTTCAGGTTATGTGTGAGCAAGAAAAAGTGAATAGGGCAATCGTGAGAAGAAGTTATAAGTAGGGAGTTCGTGCGGTTAGGAGTGTTGCGACAGAGAGCTTGAAAGTAGGGCACGAGCTTGAGAGCTAGTGAGGATTGCGAGTCACTATGTGAGACAGATGGGAGTAGAGGTGTCAATATTTGACCCGACCCGAAAATTTCGGGTTCGGGTTGGGGATTTCGACCCGTTTGTAAAACCGGGTCGGGTTCGGGTTGACCCGGAAACCCGAAATCGACCCGGTTTGACCCGTTTTTAATTAATTTAGGAGAATTTTAAAGGATTTTTATGAAATAAATAAATGATATTTCAAAAATTGATAAACATTGTTGCCCAAATTAAATTAATCTTGATTTATTTTAAATTAATTGAAGTAAATCCCATCATGGGAGAACAGAGAGAGGGTTCGATCTGGGAGAGACAGTAGTGGGTTATATTTGTGGGGCTGCAACAATAATTGGAGAGACAGGAGTGGGTTAGGAGTATGAGGAATATTTTTCCTTTCCTTTTTTCAATTAACAGGAGGCGGAAGGAATGTAACCTTATGGCGCCGAGGATTGAGATTGAAAGAATTTGAAGGATTCACAACTACTGTGAGAGATTTGATCTGATTATTTTCTTTTTTTGTTCTAACAATAATAGTAAAATGAATTTATTAATAATTTTTTGAAAGTTTTGTGTTTGTACACATCTCAAATTATGGACGCCGCCTCGCACGCAAGAAAATTTCATGTTTCACCTCAGTGCGGAAACTCATGCAATATGAGCCACTTTTTAAGGTTATTTTGATGTTCAAGACACATCGATATAACTCGTTTTGTGAACAAGCAACATTTCAACAATATTGATTGCGATCAAGGCTTCCAAACAAGATTTGTGTGACGTCGGGCATCGCATATGCTATCCATCATCGTTATCGTGTTCGATTAAATCGCATGCGAGAGATCCTCTCTTGATAAATTCAACGTTTCAGACATATTTGCATAGTTCATTTCGCGATTCAAGTGATGATCGATGATTTCAATAGTGACTGAGGCATTCAATTAATTTGGTGCAATATTATGTCAAACGGCCGTTGTTAACGTCAATTTTGACCAAGCCCAATTTGTATTGCTTCATGCCACATATGTAGGCAACCGTGCACAAACTATGTTCATTTTGCTTAACCAATTCTCTCTCATTCTTGTCATGGTATCAGATCTCAAGGCCTTTTCTCTTCCTTGCATTTTCATTACTATTGAATTTATTGTTGCATTACCACAATCTTATGGCATTCACTGTAGCACTCTTTTCATTTTTTTTTTCTATTTTTTTGCAATTGAGGCCTTCGTCATTGCATCATTTCCCATTATTGGTACCTTCGTCATTGCATTGCCACACACTATTCTCATTGTTGCAGCTTTCATCGAACTTGCTATCCATTCAAAATCAAACCAAAGATTCCAAGCACAATGTTGTAGTTTACCCTTCATATTATATCTTTCAGAAACATGACAAGACAAGGCTTTGTCGGTAGTTTAGCTAGCCCATAGCTCCTAAAATCAATGATAAGGAGGTACAAGTTATTAGCCATTATGGAGTCTCCGCATCCTCAAGTCGACAAGATGCATTATTTGGCATTAGCAGGGGAACATTGTTTCTTTGCCAACCAATTTCAATCTCCAACTCCCATCGAGATAGAGGTGAGGTCGGAGCAACTCAATTCCAACACTATGCCATCTACCAAGGGGTGGTGATGTATCAATTCCACCAGTATAAAATCGTGTGGTCAGTATAAATGTTTCTCTCCATCATCTACTTTTGTAAAGCCTCCATCTCAATGATCGGTGCTCTTAAGAGGTCCTAAAACCCCTAATAACTCTCTTGCTGAAATCTATTCCCTTGTTGCATTTACTAGCCTCTATCTCTGAATGAAGATTCTTTTAACCTTGCATCCAACTCAACATGGGCCTTCGTCGATCTGGGCTCTGAAAATTCGGCCCCTGCCTCCGCCCGATTGCTATATGCTTTTTCTTTTTGGGAGGAGTTTTAACGGATTTAAGTTCCAGGGAAAATTATGGAAGGCATATGGGTTTATAGATAAGACACTACCCAGAGATTTCACCCTCATTTTGCGAGGACTTTATGATCTGAGTTCTGGTTTCCTATAGGCGCAAGCCCCTATAGTTAATTACCCCTCTCGATAACGAGAGATAACTTTCGATTAAGGCTAGTCGTCAATCAGATACGTTATATCCATAGATATATAGTATCAGGCGTATAGTAGGAGCATTGGGCTTGGATATTTGGAAATGGTTGGAAGTTGGGAATTTTTAAAAGTTTGATATTTAAAATAGAAATTTCACTACTCGTGGCACTTAAATGATGGTGGGGGAATGGATGATGACCAGATCAAGATCCCATGGTTCCGTCGTCCCGGGCCATCGTGGTCCCTGGTCTACTTAGTTAAAGGAGGTAGTTAACCCAACCTAGACAGAAGGATCCTTTGTCGGCAGCCATGGGTTGCTTCGTCCAAGGGGACCTTGTAGACCTGGGATTGAATGTTTGTCTAAGGGGAAAATTTGAATCTACCTTACTAACAGAGGACATTGTGCCTATCAATCAATCTATTGATTCATATCTCAATGATTTGATGCCACTAAGGAGCGTATTGAGCTTAGGTTATAACTGGTATTTCGTTGGTGCCATTTGGCGCGTCAAAACCATTCGGTTCAGAGGGCCCCGGGTCATACCGTTTATCATGCGGTGCCATTTGGCGGCAAAACCGCCGGTTAGAGGACGCGTATCACATCCTTATTGGCAGGAGATTGTTTGAGAATGGATCCTAGTGATATTTTCGACTAGGCATTAGCTCTATGTGAGCTGAAGTTATATTTGAATTTGTCTACCTCGGCAAATTGTTGCGGATGATGGATGAATTTTACTTTAAGTATTCAGATGGTTGATTTTAATTTTAAATATTTGGGTTTTGGAATTTTTGTGGAGTTTGGATGTTTGGGAAGCATTTGAAATGATCGGAGTTAACCCCTCTGATTGAGATTTGCATTCAACACAGCCATCATCGGGGTGACTTTGAGGTCGCTTCTCTTTGAAAACATTTGCATTTTGTGGATGAACCTTGTCAACTCTATCGAGCTGTCGATAAAGGATCGGGTTTCATAGGTTGTATGCCTTTATTAATGAATTCTCATTATTATAAGCCTTGAAGTTCTAATATAAATGTATTAAAACAAATATACTGGTCACCATAACCATATATTTGTTTAATGGTTCGAACTCTGTCAACTCCTATTGATCCGTATAGAATGATTATGTTCGAACTTGAATTCACTTATTGACCCGTGCAGCATCCCTAGACGTCACATATGTACCAATAATACGCTCGTCGGGGCCCAAGCGGGCGTTTGGGGGCATTTTATAATTAAACCCTGTCAACTCCTACTTAGGAAGATCGGGTTTCGTAGGCTCTATGCCTTTATTAATGAATTCTCTTGATTATTGGCCTTGAAGGCCTAATATGAATGTATTAAAATAAATACACCGATCGTCACAACCGTGTATTTGTTTGAAGGTTCGAACCCTGTCGACTCCTATTAATCCGCATAGAAGGATCGGGTTCGAACTTGAATTCACTTATTGACCCGTGTAGCATCCCTAAACACCACGTGTATACTAATGACACGCTTGCAGGGGCCCATGTGGCTTTTGTGATTACATTTACCCCTTTTGTGAACCTATGTGTATACAAATTACGGTGTATGTGAGGGGGTATTTTAGATATTTTGCTTGTGCATAACTGTCATTTGAATGCGCATAACATTTCATTTGAGAGCTTATATACTCCTTCTGTCCACTAATACGAGTGTTGCGGATCCGGTGGAGTGTTGTAGCAGCTTATGGATTGAGTTATTTGCTGTTTTGTACATGTAATATGTCATGCACTACTTGTATCATCTATACAAGTAGATTATAGTGCACTAACAAATCTCATGCTTTTGGATATGGGTGAATCGTAGCATTGTCACCTGAATCTCACGAGATATTTCATTGTTTTGATACAAAGTCCCTTTTCTCATTCGTCGGGAGGTTCCTCTTGAAATTCATGACTGCTGCCTTGAAAAGAACTCTTTTCAGGATCTTCAGTATAGCAGACTTGTTATTTCCGGTGTTGGTGGATACCAGAGCTGTTTTCTTCCTAAGGATAGGACCAAGAAGAAACTTTGGAACACCATGAAGTTTAGTTCTAATTTGTTCAAACATCTCTCCCATTATGCCAGGAGATGTCCTTTTCCATACATCGAGTCGTCTTCATATTCGACATACCCACAGCCTCTCAATCACCGCTGTTGTAGGTGATATATGTACTTGTGTCAAAAGGGGTTTGTCGTACCCGCGATATACCCGCTGATGTTATCCACAAGCGGCTCGTGTGTATTTACAGGGGACCGCTGTATTCACTACGACCTCCTAGAAGTGTTCGTAGAAGACCCATTGTTCCTGCATCATATCCACCTTTCACCAATCTCAGGTGGGTTTGATGTACTTGTTTGTAGAAGCATTTTTCTTTAAGTACTCCCCTTTTGCATACAGGGATCTGCGTATTTGTTCTCCTTGGTTGGTTGTTACTTGTAGGAGGATTACACATTATCTTACAAATCCACATTTGAAGATAGGTTCCTTGTTGTCTTTCAAGGCAATAAAGGGCAATACTCTTGTTTGTATGATTGATACATGCATCAATCATCATTGTCTTGATTTTCATTTGGATGCATATGACTGTCATTCATGCATACTCGTATGTATCCCACAGTTATTTGTAAAGGGATTTATGCTTTGATGTGGTCATTTCACATTCGTAGGCATTCGCACTTGATGTGCTAATCAACTACCTTCCAATTGTAAGGGATATATGTATTTGTCTTTGATCGGATGATTGTTGACACTAGCGGGCATTGGCATTCCTTGTATGCTTCACTAAATACATCCGTAAAAGGAGTTATTTGATTGGTGTCGGATGTGCGGGTACTACGTCGTGTACAATCATTCACAAATATCTCCACGTTTGCTGCACCTCGATCCTTGCATCTTTAGCAGCTTCGTGTAGTCCTCAATTCAGACATCCAAAATTATGGCATATGAGTTAAGTTCTTTAAAGTTCATTCAAACTTAAGCTCTATGTTCAGGTCCCCAGTAGTATAACTCAAGTTTTCTTGCTTGAGCTTAAGAATTCAATTCAAATTCAATGTGCAAGTCCAAATTTTGCAAGTTCAATTAAGCTCAAATTTTGGTTTCTTTCAACATCATTTGATTAAGTTTGTTTTAAGCTTGATTTGAGTTTGATTTTGCCTCAAGTTGTGTTCAAGTTAAGTTCATTTGATGTCCAAATAAAGTCCACTGTGGTCTTTTGAGTTTAAATCATGTTTGAGATCAAAGCACAAGTTCAAGTGTGAGTTAAGGTTCCTCTGAAGCCTACTGTTCATTTGAGTCCAAGTTCTAGAGCATGTCCTTTTTGAGTTCAAACAGGTCCGAGTGCAATCATATATTCACCCGAAATTTCGGCAACCTCCCGATGTCTTCCCCGTTTAGAGGAAAACTACGGAAAACTGGGCCTCCCACTATGTTAGAGAAAAGCTTGTACGATAGGTGCCCTCGTACGAGGACACCACAGCCGTGAAATCTTCAACCCCACCACCCAAGAGAAAGGCGTGTATGGGTCTTCGGTACTTGTTACAAGAAAAACAGTTGTTTCCACGCAGGTACAGAGCCGCGTACGGGTACTTAAAATTATCCTGGTCATGCTTAAGAAAAGCGTGCATCGGGACTTTCCACCTCGTCGTAGGTGTCGCACCGGGTTCCCTTCACACCACGTTAGAGAAAAGCGTGTATGGGCGGTTTGCCGGCTTGACACGCACGCCGAGGTAAGAGAGAAATTCAATTTTAGAAATTATACCTTGGCGACTGATGATTGAGAGGAGAAGCCAATTGCAAGAGACCTTTGGAGAAAGACCGAGCAGTCATGTTTCTTGGGAAGAGTTTGTGAAAGTATTTAAAGATTGATTTGTACCGATGTCAGCTAGAAGATTGATGCAGGACAAATTCATGAGAATGGTACAGGGTGATAGATCGATTACGCAGTATGAGTTTGAGTTCACAATGCTTTCTAGATATGCCTCTCATGTAATCCCCAATTCAGAAGAAAAGTGTCATCGCTTTCTATATGGCTTAAAGGATATCATTAGACAGACATTGATTACTTTTGGCATTGAGGATTATTCTACCTTGGTTGAGAGGGCTCGAAGGATTGAGATGGACTTACAAAATACTCAGAGGAGAAGAGAATTGTAGAAAATGAAAAACTAAAATTAGAAATGGAGTTCATGTAAAATAGAACTAAAATGAACTCAAATATGACTCAATCCTTTGTATGTAAATTGACAGAGTTGACAAGATCTGAAATAACAAAGTAAAAATATTCAAAAACCTGATGATGTCCGAGTTGATTGAAAACCCAACTGAAGGGGATCTTACTTTCACAAATGCCCTCAAATCCCATAGAAAATCATTTCGGATTTAAGTCTTGATAATACAAGAAAATATAGAAAAATTTTAGAAAGTCAAAAAATATACAAGTGTTATCTACCCCTTCTGTCTTAAATAAAATTCATTGACCTTCTACAACTATTTTTTGAGAGTTCAACAACAACAGCATCATCATCATCAACTTTTGTCCCACTACGTGAGGTCGGCTACATGAATCATTTTTCTCCATTGTGTAATATTAAAAAGTCAAATTATCGTTTAAATCTAATAAAGAAATATCATTTCTAATATTTTCTAATCAAGTCTTTTTAGGTATACCTCTACATTTCTTAACATAAGTCAAATCTAATATCTCTACTTTCCTAACGGGGTTATCGGAAGGTCGTCGTTTTATGTGACCAAACCATCTACGACGACTCTCTCTAATCTTATCTTTCACTAGCGCTACTCCAACCATTTCACGTATATGCTCATTTCGTATCCGATCTCTAAGGGTAAAGCCACTCATCCACTTGAGCATCTTCATCTCTGCAACACTTAACTTAATATTATGCTTTTCTTTTAATGGCCAACATTTGGCACCATAAAGCATTGCAAATCTCGCCACCATCTTCTAGAATTTTCGCTTAAGTTTGAGGGGGACTTTTCTATCATACAACAAGCCCGATGCATTCCTCCACTTCAACTATCCAACTTGAATTTTGCTGATAATATCCCCATCTATTTCACCATCAGTCTGAACAATAGATCCAATATATCTAAAACGTGTACTCTTATTAATGACTTGATCGCCCAAAGTCGCAATCCCCTCACTAGGTCTATTACTACTAAAATTACGCTCCATATATTCAGTTTTAGTTCTACTCAAGCGAAAACCTTTAGACTCTAAGGTTGACCTCCATAGTTGAAGTTTACCTTCAACTACCTCTCTAATCTTATCAACAAGAAGAATATCATCAGCAAAAAAAAAACCAAAATATATCCTCTTGCAAATGTCAAACGAGGCCATCCATGACTAAAGCTAAAAGATATGGGCTTAAGACTGATCCTTGATGTAATCCAACCAAAATAGGAAAATACTTGGTCAAATCACCTTGTGTTTGTACACAATTATTTTTTGAGAGTGGCATTCAAAAATAACCTCAACTCATAAAGAGCAAATTTTTGTCATATGTATCATAATAATTCATTTTCTTAATGCAGTGCTCTTCTTGTGAAAGTTGTATACTATATCCATGAATTTATTTGGAGTCAGTTCTATAAACATACTTTCTATTCATCACTGACAGCAATGGAGTTTATGTAATTTGGCTAAACACAAGTTACCTTGTTCTGGGCCTAACTCTTTCTGAGTAATGCTATAATCCCCACATAAACATGCACATTAAATCCAAAGGGCACCACTTGTTTCTCCATTCTTATATTGCATAAAGAAAGACACACAAGCATCCACATCAGTCATATGAGGCACTTCGAATTTTTTGTGTTGGGATGCTTAGCGAGTATAGCATTATTCACCTCTTTTTCCTTTTAGTCCTTCCACAATAAATTTAGATCCCAGTCTTATGAGTACTTCATACTTCTTTGTCTAGTGCATGAATGAAAACAACCTCAATCTATTTTATGTTGCCTTCTCCTCAACAAACGCTATCCACATTTTTTCTATAGTTTCTCCATACTTCATTCTTCTAACCATTTGCTTCCCATCCATTTCAACATTCTATATTTGTTATTATAAGAATTTCAAAGAAAGAAAAGATCAGGCAGCACGGTCCCTATCCTGTCTATTCCGTACATAATCACTCTATCAACTTAGTTTCATTAAAAATCATAACATAGTCTGGCTTATCCACGTAACTAAACTTCAAATGGTATCTTACTAAAAATTTAAAGCAATAATTACTCAAAGAAACATAGTTTGTGATCTCAGTCAGCACTTACATTACTTCGCATAACCAACCAATTAGTAAGTTTATATCATTTTAAGAATAAGCTACATTCAGCAACCTTCTAAACTCAGTAATGATGATGGAAAGTGTTGGAGAATTTTTGTATCCTCAAACGGATTGCATATTTTATAATCGGGCACGGCATAAGAATATGATATATTACCCCGGAGGGTAAAAGTATCATCTCCTTATGGACTCAATCATAAAATTTACAATTTATTTAACAGAGATTCCCCCACTCAATGTTTGGTCGAGTGGGGTTTATTTACTTCTGGGGTACAGACATCCCATAGGGGCAAGCCCCTATGGTTAATTACATCCCAAATTTGATTTGGGAACACTTTTGATTAAACTAGTGGTTTTGCTTTCTTTAGAAGTCATTTAAACATTGGCTAAAGCTTGCTTTTTGTTGTGTTTTGAAATCCATGAAACTAAGCCAATTGAAAGTTTTAAAATAAGCAATTGGTTCAGTTAATTAATAAACAAATAGAAATTTTGGCATGCCTCCGTATTAAAGGGCAACACCATAAAGCAGGGGCAGGAAAAAAAGGAAGAGAATCCCAATCTACTAAAAAACAAACCCATTTAATTAGAGGACCCTCCTCTTCATCTGTTGTAACATGAGTCATCAACGCTAGATTCTTGGTCAATCCACAACCTTCTCCTTCGGGTGTATCACATGGACAAAGCATGCCCCACTATTGGAAGGAAAACACTCTATTAGGTAGCCTTGAAAAAAAAAAGGTTTAAAAACAATAGAATGGTAACAGTAAAAACACTAAACTGATGGAAGAGATCTTACCTGACTAGGCTGCAGGGCCCTTGGACCGCTAACTTTTCTTGTTTTTTCAAATTGTGGTGAAACACGTGTCATGTAGCCCAAGGTTGCAATGAAGGCGAGCCTTGAAAGAACCTATAGAAAGAAAAACAGCAATCATAAGCACAAAACAAGTGTAGGAGAATTACCATGCAATAAAGAAACCAGTAATACCTGCGATACCCCTTTCCGATTCATTTTAAACCGTTTCAAATCCCAATTTCCAGTTGAAATGGCTCTTTCTAAGCCGTTCGTAATGGTATCACTCATCATGTACTACAAAAAAGACAACAATAATGTTCCTATAATAAGGAAATTTTGAAGCAAATTAACACAGACAACAGAACGGTAAAATGACAGATTAAAAGTTTCTATGATCTTCAGTGGTCCTTTCTCTTTTCGATTTTGAATTTATGACAGGAATTTACTTATATGAATTTTATAGATATCTCCTTATAAAAGGAAACCATTAATACAAGCAAAAGCAACAAAGGTATAGATAATAACATCAACCTCAAGAAAGTTTGTGAATGTGGCATTAATAACTGAGAAACAAACTGCTCCAGAGGCATTCGGGTGTTTAATCACCAACCTTTTATAACACTCATTTTATCAAAAAGGTGAGAAGAAAATTTTCCCTAAAATTATACCCTACTTTTCACACATCTCGAAAATCAAAGAAATTATTTATATTAAATAGCATTCAATTACTTTTCACACATCTTTTACACTTCATTTCAATCATTTTTGTTAAGATTTTCAATTAAATAGCATTCAAATCATTTTCCCAAGAGTTTTTAATCAAATATACTGTAGCACAACCTATCTACAGTAGCTAAGCCTATTTTCCCGGGCTTTACAAAGTAAGCTAAGGGGCAATGTAAAGCACGGCGATATAACCAGAAGTGGAATTCAAAATAAATTAAAACACACACACACACACACACACATATATATATATATATGTGTGTGTGTGCGCGCGCGCTCTCTCTTAAGGTTGACCTCCATAATTCAAGTTTACCTTCAACTCCCTATCTAGTCTTATCAACAAGAAGAATATCATCCACAAAAAGCAAACACCAAGGTTCAATCTCTTGCAAATGCCTAGTGAGAACATCCATGACTAAAGAAAAAAGATATGGACGTAAGGCTAATCCTTGATGTAATCCAACTAAACGAGGAAAATACTTAATCAAACTACCTTGTGTTTGAACACAAGTAACAACTTCTGCATACATATCCTTAATGACTTGAATATAATCATTATTAAACACTTTCTTTTCTAGAACTCTCCAAAGCACTTCTTTTGGAACTTTATCATATGCTTTCTCTAAATTAATAAATATCATATGTAGATCCTCCTTATTCTCTATCTTCTTCTCCATCAAACCTCTTAATAAGTGTATAGCATCCATAGTAGACCTACCTATCATGAATCCAAATTGATTTTGAGAAACATTAGTGTCACGCCGCAATCTATGCTCCATAATTCTCTCTCACAATTTAAAAGTATAACACATTAACTTAATTCCTCTATAATTCGCACAATCTTGTGCATTAACTTTATTCTTAAAAATCGGAATTAACACACTTATTCTATACTCTTCTAGCATCTTTTTAGTTGTCAAAATAACATTAAACAGTTTAGTTAGCCAAGAAATTCCTTCATCTCCTAAGCATTTCTACACCTCTATGAAATATCATCAGGTGCAACAGCTTTTCCACACTCAATTTCTTTTAAGCCTCTCTAACTTTGGTTTTACTAATACGTCGATAAAAACAAATATCTTTCTTTTCATTTAGGATGATAAGGTCACTAAATTCAATCGTATTCTCACAATCTTCATTGAAAAGTTTAGCAAAATATCTCATCCACCTTTTTTGATATCGTCTTATAATAAAAACACTTTTTGATCTTCATCCTTAATGCACTTCACTTGAACTAAATTCTTACTACTCCTATCTCTTTGTTTGGCTAACTTATACATATATATTTCACCCTCCCTAGTATCTAATCCATTATATAAACCATCAAAAGCTAAAATCTTTGAATTGAATATTACTTTTTTAGGCTTCTTTAAGTTATCCCCTACCTTTTGTAAAAGGTGGTTTTAGAAATGTTGGTTGAGGGAATGGAGTTTTATAATGGAGAAACCAATATCAAAAAGCTTCTCAAAACAGTAGAAAAATGAAGTTTCGTAAAAAGCCCTTTTAGAGAAGTGTCATATACAAACAACGACAAAAAATAATTATGTCGTTTCGAAACTAAAAAGGCAAAAAAAAAAAAAACGAATCAATTTAGAGTTTTGACATTTTTCTCTTTTATTTATAACCACACTAGGATTATTTGGGTATAATTGTTATTGTGTTGGTCTAATGCTTTTAATTTTTTCAAAAAAATTCCACCAAGAAATAAAGGTTCAAACATCTTTCTTGAGGCCATCTGTTATGATAATGCACCTTGACATATATGCAGCCTACTTTTTCTTCCTTTCATGCTGAAAAATTGTATGTACATTTAACATCTTGCCCTTGTACTGCATAAGATAAAGATGTGGCTAAACGAAAATGCTGACAACTTCAAGATGCTGCTCGTACTATAATGTTTCAAATGAATGTTCATTGACAGTTCTATGAAGATGATATTCTAACATCCTGCAACATAATCAACATGTATCGGCCACTACTTTAAATGGGGCTATGCCCATTTACTTCTATTTTTCCTCAAAAACCTAATGACCGACTATGATATTCTCGCATCCTGCTATATAATGACCGACTAGAGAGTGCTTAAAATAAGTTGCAACACTAAGCAGCAAAAAACAAAAAGAAAATGATGTGGACATCGATCAGAGGTTCAAGCATGTGTATCGCCGGAGACAGCGCAGATCGACGGCTACGATTCAAAGTCTTTATTTTTTATTTATTTCATGTTTTAATTAGTTGGCATTTTTATTTCCTAGTTTACCCCTATGGGGAGTGTTGTCTTTTTATAGCCCAAAGGGCATTTGAGTACTTTTATTTCCTCATGTTTTAAGACCTATTTATAGGGGTCTTATGCTTTGTAAAAGCTAATGAATATTTGAATGAAAATTGATGTTTTGTTTCTACTTTTCTAGCATGAGTGCTTGAGAGGGAAGAGAGCTCAAGGGGAGCAATTCGCAAGGCTCACCAGTCGTTGGAAGAGTCCGCATTCCCTCCAAACACAATTAAATCTGAAATTTATTTCAGATTTATTGAGGGCTTGAATAGACTTGAATTCCAAATTTTCAAATCCTGAAATTTATTTCAGGATTTGTTTTAAAACTCCCTCACCTCCTCTCTTGAAACCGCCGGCCTCCCCCTCCTTAAACCCCCCATTAATTCCCCAATCAATGCCTTAATTCCATTTGATTTGAAATTCAAAATTCAAGTCAAATCCCTCCTAATTTAATCAAAACTGAAATTAAATTTCAGTTTTTGATTAATCCCCTCCATAATTCCCTAACACTTCTCTCCAACCCTAGCCTTTTCCCTTGCACCCGCCGGCCTCCCTTCTTCCTCTTGCTCCCGCCGCCCCATCTTGCTTCTCTTGTGAATTGGGAAGCCAAGGAAAGGAGACGACGACGCCTCCCCTCTCCATTTCAATTATGCATGGCGGATCCCGAGCTTGATAGCGGATTCATGTACGATATCTATGGCGACGTCCACATCACCCGTTCTGAGTTCTTCGACGTCGGATTTGGATTCGACGACACTATTGAAGACTATCTGAATCGCATTCTTCCTACTCTTGTGGACGTCATAGACGATCAATATCAAGACTACGACTGGATCATCCACGGTCATCCATCCCCGCCATCTCCGCCACCTTCAACCTTTCCGTGGATCAAGGCTATTGGTGTTGCTACCGTCTTAGTGGCATCGTTGAGTTTGTTAAAGACCTTCTCCCGCAAAGCCCTACTTGAGTGTGAGTGAGCAAGGTAACTCGTTGTGAACTTTCTAGACATTAGCCGTGGGATTCTATTATTTTCCGCATTTGCTTTATTGTGATACTTTTGGAGATCTATCATTAATTGTGTCTAAACAACTAGTTTGTAACTGCTTATCATAACATTTTGACAATGAAAAATTCCTGAACTTTAACCTACGATACTCTAATCTTACACTGGTATACTTTGTGATTCTTAATGAATTTCATGTGCAATTCTTGAACGTATCACATCAGAAAAACAACATCAACTGAAGGGATTTAAGGCTTCTATGCCTTTCTCCCTTTGGCCTATGTTAAGAAAGGTAGAGGTAGACCTAAAAAAATTTGGTTAGAAAATATTAGAAATTACATTTCTTTATTAGATTTAAATGAGAATTTGACTCTTAAGATGACATAATGGAGAAAAAGTATTCATGTAGCCGACCCCACATAGTGAGATAAAGGCTTGATGCAGTTGTTGTTGTTGTATAGAAAAAGTTTAGGAGGCACTAGAGCAACAACTCATTAAGTATTTTGACTTACATGTATAAAATATAATGGGGTAGATCGACTAGCTTTATCATATGCCTTCGCCATTCGACTTGCAACTTGAGAATTCATAGTCTTAAACAAATCCTGGAGAAAGAAGTCACAAGGAAACAATAATCTAAAAAACCGTTGAAAATGCTGGACATGAACAATTAAAGTAATTCCATGGAAAACAAAAATATATTACCTCAAAAAGTAAGGCTACAAGCTGTCCAGAGAGTTCCAACCTTTTGTTTCCCACATAGTCCTTTCATTTTAAATAATTATAATTATAATCCGAAGCAAAGTCATAGTAAATTGAAGAAACGCGAGCACTGAATGTTTCTTTTGGCAAGATTAATAGTATCCAATTTAACATCCAAATAAATTGAAAGCACAACCACAACCAACATAAACTCTAACTATTTATCCTTAAGAAAAAAAAAACTTATTTTGGCTTATTATTTTTTAACAGATTCAGGTCAGTTGCAATGTTCCTAGAGTAGAGAACAAAAAAAAAAAACTTAGGGTCAGCTATATGAATCTTTTTTCTTTTATTGTGTCCTATTAAAAATCAAATTCTCATTTAAATCTAATAAAAAAAACCATTTCTAACATTTTTTAACCAAATCTTTTTAAATCTACCTCTATTTTTCTTAACATAGGACAGCTCTAAGTGGAAAATTTGAAAGCATCAACTAGATAACATCAAACATTTGGAAACTATGATTTAAAATTCTAAGTAAATGGGAAATCACATCAATCCAGAATCAATAAAATGAACAATATATAAAAACCAACATCATAAACAGAAGCAGCATAATCTTCCTCGATTATTGTGGGTCTTACTAATCTTCATATGTCATTTACTGCTGAAAGCAGCTCCAAGTATTAATTATTGCGGAAATTATGGGCGTAATTGAGGTGGCAGAGAACAACGTTGCACAAATTCAGCAGGAAGTATAGCTGCTAGAAATCAGGAACCAAAGATAGAAGAATACAATGAGGCGGACAACAATCTAGGGAATGAGGAAGCTGCTACAAATCAGCAATCATTTATTGATTACTAGATGAAGGCTGGCAGCTGCCTGAGCCAAATATAAGCTCAACAAGCATGGCAATCCAGCTGCCATCCCAGTTGGATGCTGAGGGATCAGGACAATACGACTGCCCAATCCAAGCAAGGAAAAACACCTCACATGCTGAATCAATGATTCTAATTTTAGAGTTACCAATTTCTATAAGTAGGTGAAAAATATTGTGTTGTTATTTCTCAAAATTTTGTTTGTTATTTCTCAAAGTGTCGGTACAATATATTCAAGTTCCCTGGTAGCTGTACAGTAAGTTTCCAATTTGTTGAAAAGAGAAACATTTTAAAGAATAACACCAAAGGGAGAAACTTCACAATTAACAAGCTCTTCATTAAGCTGATCACCTTATCATCAAAAGTTTCAACATTAAGTACTGCATCCATCATCCTCTTCAACATCACGGCAGTATATATGCATTTTGGCCTAAAATTCCCATCCTTAACCTGCAAAATATGATAAAAATTTCAAATCGATAAACATAAGAACTACTCCAAAATAATATTTACAGGAAAAAAAAAACAACAATAAAACTTACAGGGACGTGTGCAAGAAACACATTGATAAGAATTTTCTTCACCCGATCATCCTTCAGCGTACAAAAATGGAAAACCATCCAAGAAAATTAAAATGTTTACAAAAGAAAAATTCCCAATAAAGAAAAAAGGAAATTAACATAGTTGACACTGCAGCCTTATACGAGGAAGATTACCAGGTCTTTTTGTCAGTATCAGCATACCTTATTTATTTCAAATCGTAGTGAACTGAGATTTGCCAACTGCAAGTAAGAAGTGAGCCAAACAATTGTAAATGTATGACACCTTACATAATGAATATCTACATATTAACGAGTACACAATGAAGTATATACTAAATAACTGCACAGCCAAACTAAATTGAAAACGATCATGATATACCACTTCCAAAATTCCGATTCAAATATTTACTTTGCATTCTCCTTGGACAGTCAAGAAAAGTAGTGGAATGAGGCATGGTAAAGCACTCAGTAAAAGGATGCCAAGAAATGTCAAAGAGCACATAATAATGAGACCAAAAAAAATGAGAAAGCTCAAAAAAAAAAAATCTGGAGGGCAAAGTTAATCATCCAGCTTTCAATATAAATATGGAAGATTGTGGAAAAATACAAACAACAGAGAATATGACAGAGATAGTACAAATTGATTTTGCAAAAAAGGATGGTGAAACCAAGGCATTCCAAGTTCGATTGATATCAAAGAATCAATTTGACATCATGCTAGGAAGAATAATAAGCTATTTTTAATACCCAAAAATTATATATATATATATATATAATATTCAAATTATCTCTCCCTCTTTCAAATCATATATTGCTTTCAATTTTTTTTTGTCATTTCAAATATTATGATTTGATTACTTTGTTATTTTTTATGTATGATTTATATATTATAATGTCGTATCCGCGCCGTATCCGTATCCTGTATTTTTAAGAATTGGCGTGTCCTGTATCCGTATCGCCGTATCTGTATCGGTGCAACATAGAGGAGCACTCAATTCTGAAAAACACAGAGGTGTTCAAACTATAACGTATTGGGATTTACACTTTAAAATTATATATTTGTTTGAGTTGATCAATTTGATTCAAAATTTTGGGGCGTATATTCTAATAAGGGTTGAAGGAAATGAGTGAAATGTGAGGGATTATGAGGTGATTGGAGTGAACATTAGCCTCGAATCTAAGTTGAGGACTACTAAGAGATAGTGTCACGAACCTATATCTAATGGAGTGCAAGGGACTTACAAACCTATACCTCGCATGAGGCTAAGTCAACTGGACCTTTGGATTTACAACCGTGCTTGGAAAGAGCCGTTAGCTAACCCACCTAAACGCTTTTAAAACTATAAGGTCTGATTTCAATGCATCTGAAGATAAAAAAGGCTATTTTAATTTAGATATGACTTAACTTAGCTTTTGAGCTAAAGATGTATAACCATTGGATATGCAAATACTGACTCAGTGAATACATATTTTTATTTAGTCCTTAATATGAGAGTTTTCTATATGGGACATACTAGCCTATTGATGTAGGCAAAGGGGGGCAGGTCAAAACATTTTGGGTTTTTAATTTTTTGTGAGCTTCTAAAATCAGCTCATAAATGCTTAGTCTCTACTCTTTCAACTCATAAATCTGAAATTAATTGAGGATTTATTTGGTGCATCCCCCCTAACTTTTGGCCCTTTGATTTCCTCCCCTTGGTTACTTCCCCCTCTCCCTGTGTCTCTTCGATTTTTCCCATACTAACTCTCCTTCCCGTTGGTTATTCCATTTCCCTGAATGCTATCCCGATTCCCCTTTGTGCCCCTTCAGATTCTTCCCTGGCTGCTGGTTTCAGTCCCCTTTTGCCCCCTTGGTTTCTCCCCTGGTTGGCTGTCCCGTGGCTGCTTTTCCTGGGTTCTGTGTGGCCTTTTCAACTGCTGTTTTTGAATAAATGCTAGTCCCTTTTGGGCTGTTTGGGTGTTGTTTCTTGACAGACAACTGGCCTTTCATTTCCCTTACTTAATTGGTTTATTTGGAGATGTTTTATGGGCTGTTTGGCTGCCCTCTTTTCTCCTATAAATATTAGATGTTTTGTATGTTAAAAAAGAAATGTTATAATGTGATTTTTAGAGCCTAAACCTGCGGGTTTTTTCGTGGAAAAGTTGCGAGCTTGTTCTATGCATTCTCCTTCTTCTAAAAAAGCTTGCGAGCTTCTCCTCCCTTTTGTCTCGACTTCTTGCCTTCTTATTCAATCCGCAAGTGACCATTCCAATTGTATCTTTCTTCTCAATCAATCCACGAAAGCAAGTTTGGGTGTATGTTTTATGTTTGTGTTTGTGTCTGTGTCAAAGTTTGTAAGAGTCTTTTAACTTATAAAAGTTGTATTTTTGTCGTATTTTGTTTAGTTTTGAGAATTTTATGTCATTTCTATTTCCTAGGAAGTGTTATGTCCTTGCAAGAAAAAAATAGATTTTTTCTAATTTCTTGCTTGCATCAGCTATGCATGATCATTTTGTTTTGAAAACTTCGCTCATTAGATTGAGCTATGCAAATTTTCTTTTATTTGGAAAATGTTACTCTATGATTAATTTTAGAGGGGGGGGGGGGGCAAAACAGGGGGGCAGGTCAAAACATTTTGGGTTTTTAATTTTTTGTGAGCTTCTAAAATCAGCTCATAAATGCTTAGTCTCTACTCTTTCAGCTCATAAATCTAAAATTAATTGAGGATTTATTTGGTGCATCCCCCCTAACTTTTGGCCCTTTGATTTCCTCCCCTTGGTTACTTCCCCCTCTCCCTGTGTCTCTTCGATTTTTCCCCTGCTGGCTCTCCTTCCCATGGGCTATTCCATTTCCCTGGATGCTATCCCGGTCCCCCTTTGTGCCCCTTTAGATTCTTCCCTGGCTGCTAGTTTCAGCCCCCTTTCGCCCCCTTGGTTTCTCCCCTGGTTGGCTGTCCCGTGGCTACTTTTCCTGGGTTCTGTGGCCTTTTCAACTGCTGTTTTTGAATAAATGCTAGTCCCTTTTGGGCTGTTTGGGTGTTGTTTCTGGACAGCCAGCTGGCCTTTCATTTCCCTTACTTAATTGGTTTATTTGGAGATGTTTTATGGGCTGTTTGGCTGCCCTCTTTTCTCCTATAAATATTAGATGTTTTGTATTTTAAAAAAGAAATGTTATAATGTGATTTTTAGAGCCTAAACCTGCGGATTTTTTCGTGGAAAAGCTTGCGAGCTTGTTCCATGCATTCTCCTTCTTCTAGAAAAGCTTGTGAGCTACTCCTCCCTTTCGTCTCGACTTCTTGCCTTCTTCTTCAATCCGCAAGTGACCATTCCAATTGTATATTTCTTCTCAATCAATCCACGAAAGCAAGTTTAGGTGTATGTTTTATGTTTGTGTTTGTGTCAAAGTTTGTAAGTCTTTTATCTTATAAAAGTTGTATTTTGTCGTATTTTGTTGAGTTTTGAGTTTTTTATGTAATTTCTATTTCCTAGGAAGTGTTATCTCCTTGCAAGAAAAAATTAGATTTTTTCTAATTTCTTGCTTGCATCAGCTATGCATGATCATTTTGTTTTGAAAACTTCGCTCATTAGATTGAGCCATGCAAATTTTCTTTTATTTGGAAAATGTTACTCTATGATTAATTTTAGATTGCTTAAATATTAATTAGTATAAAAATTAATTTTTTCCTAAGAGTCTACTGGATAACAAGTTCAAGCCATTCTCACCCAAAATCAATGAAGAAACCTAGAAAAAAGCATGCATTTCTAATACGTACTCAGTAACAATTCATCACATGTATATATGTATAAAATCAACCAACAGGAAAGCAAAGTAAAGTCATATTTATATATAATCAACCAACAAGAAAGTAAAGTCTAAATTATTACAATTATAACTAGCAGCTGAATTATATTTCTTATACAACTCAGTTAAATTTCTTTTTACAGACGTAACATGTGGGTTTTCAAACTTTGGTTTCTAGTTGCTTCTAGGGCTTCACCTACAGGGTTCATCTCTCTTGTAATTGTATCGCACATGCTTGCAATACTTCCTAAGTCAATTAAATACATTTGAAAAATAAGTGACTCAAACCTGTAAAATAGGAGGATTAGGAAGAAGTTTATATGAAAGAAAGAAAAATCATAGAATTGTCTAACACAAAGTGTCAAGCCCGGTTTTTATACTATTAGTCATGCCACCTTGGAGGTTTTTAAGAAACTCCTATAAGCAAACAAAGTTAAATAACCATGACTTTTTTACCCCCTTTTGGACATGGCCACCTACAAAAAATGCATATATATATCTTTATCCTAACCTCTTAAAAGCAAGTGCCTACAATTCAGGCAATCTAATATTCATCACACCAAACAAAATAAACATATGCATAGAAAAGGAAAATCATTATCTTAACATGCCTAGGGGGTTGTGCACCTAAGTGTGCGTTAGTTGTATAGTATGTCACATTAGAATAAGTATTTTATTTTATTGAGGAAAAAAGAATATTTGATTTTAATCCAATGGGTGATTTCACTTTAAGTTGTTTATAACTTAAAATTTTTATTTGTTTTTTAATTGTTACATATTTATGAGGATTATGAAGAACCAATAGAGTAGCCCCTGTTTACTTTGAGGTAAGCTTGCTTCTCATAGAATCCAAAAATCCAATAATGTAGGTATTCCACCTTTTGGGGCATAATAATTTATTATTGCATCCAAAAGAAACCAAAGTGATTTTTAGGTGTTTTTTAGAGTTCTCTTTGTGTTAGGAAGAATCATCTAATAGGTTAAAGTAAACATGCCTAAGGGTTTGGCTTAGGACTTTGTAAAATTCACCTAATTGGGTACGGTGAATTTCAAAAAGAAGAAACTCCTAAGGGACATCTAGAAGTTATATCTTAAATGTCATGAGAGGGAGAACTCACTTTTTTTTAGTAAATGCTCTCCTAGACTCTCCAAAAACTATTTGAGAACTTTTATATAGTTTAGGAAAGACACTACGCGAAAAAATTGAAGGATTTCCAATGGCTTTTAGGCTAGGGAAAATGAAGGATTTTTTAAATTTTTGGCTTAATAAAAAAATAGAAAGGGAATGTGCAACTTAGGGGTTCCAAATTGGCGAAGTATCACTACAGGAAAATCACGTGTTACCGGCGAACATAATTCGTCGGTAAACGCTCAAAATCCGTCGGAAATTAATATTTCCGACGGAGTTCCGGCGGATTTTTGTTCGCCGGTTACACGCGCGTCGGAAAAGTCATACCGG